TGAATCCCTATCAGGCCTCTCACACCCTCCTTGCCACTAATTTTGGATCACTTGTTGTTCCCTTGTCCCTGGGTTGGTCAACACCACCTCCTTTCCCCCACCTCCCCATCTCCCATGCCCCCCAGAACCATCGGTCCCATTGTTTTCTCCCCAAATTTCTCTTAATATCTTAAGAAGCTAGTGGGGAGGGGAACAAATTACAGAATTGTAAGTAAATGGATATCCTTGGGCGGCATGAGGCCCCCGAGGTAATTTTTTGTGGCCCACGATGCTCTGAAATAAAATGAAAATAGGAAAAATTGTTATGAAGAAAATAGCACTTAGGGGAGATCGAGGCAATGCGGTACACACAATTCCCTCGTTACATTTTATTTCAGAACATCATGGGCCACAAAAGGTTACCTCGTGGGCCGAATGTGGTCCGTGGGCCGACAGTTTGATACCCCTGGTGTAAGTCATGGACAATAATAAATTTTAACAATAAGGGCTACTGTGGGGTATGGTGAAAGAGGGACGGGATAGAGGGAAGCTGATAGGGGAAGCAAACAGTTCAAGAAGAATGAAAAGGTTTTGAAACTGATGGGTGACAACAATTGTATAAGCAAGCTTGACCTTATTGATTTACAAATTGCTACATCTGTAAGAGCTCCCAATAAAATGATTTTTTTTAAAGGATTATCTCATAAAATGAAATTAAAAAGAAGCTAGTGGGTTAGGTATCCTAAAAAAAACTAAAAAAAACCTCACTGCCATTGAGTTGATTCCAAATCATAGTGACCTTATAGACAGGGCCCCTATGCCCCTGTGGGTTTCGGAGACCATAACTGTTTATGAGAGTAGAAAGCCTCATCTTTCTCCCTAGGAGCGGCTGGTGCTTTCAAACTGCTGACCTGTGTAGCAGGCCAATGCATAACCACCAGGGCTCCTCTATCCTCCTAAAGACTGTTATAATAGCATCACACAGCAGCCCCAAGCCAGGAGGGGCTTCTAGTCAGAGCTGAGGCTCAACAGATGTCCCAGGGTAGGGGAATGAATAACAATTAACTGGGTGAGTGGTCAGTCCCAAGTCATCCTCATAGCGGCACGTCTCAGGTCATGGAGGTGACCCACCACCTCCAGCTACACCTTCAAAACCGAGAAGAACCATACATGTGTAGCTCAGCCTCCCTGCCTAAGATAGAAGGCCCTGGAAGGAAGGTCAGGGTCACTGACCTCCTGGGCCTTGACAGAACCTAACTCCAGCTGTGGCTGCATCCCCTAGGACTTCCTCTGGGCTGATTCCTGTCGCTCACTCTGCTGTGGGCACCTGGCCTTTGTTCCCAGAGCAAACTCTGCCCTGGGTCTGGAACGTTCTCTTCCCCACACTGTCCAACTCATTCCCTATCACTTACACCTTGGTGACC